GGCTGACTGTTCCTCTGTCTGGCTTCCTGGCTTTTAATCCCCTTTCTCCTGCTCTTCTGGCCTGCTGCTTTGGGCATCCTTGAGTTGTCCTGGGGCTGACACACATAAAATCATACACACATAAAAAGAGGTCTAGTTAATGAAGGCAATAATATGTAGAATGCCAATCTGCTGATCTTTTCAGAAAAAAAAAAAAAAAAGCCTTGGCCATAGTCAAAAGAGTAGCTTTGCATTTCAAATAAAAATTTCAGATACATATAAACATATTTTATGATTCTCCACTGTGACCAACATTCTCATTTGTCCAATTCCTCTTGGATTAAACTGAGCCAAGTAATAGGCCTCTTACTATACTATCTTAGATAATACCCAGCACAAGCATTGAGTAACCTGAAAGCCATGTTTAAATCATTTTAATTTAACTTCAAAATCTACAGTTTTTATTTCCCTTAATATTGTTCTTCCTGGAACTCGAGCATAAAACACTGTTAGAGAGTACATGTGCTCAAAAGGATTTTTCATTCCTGTCACCTAAGGCCTAGGAAATAAATGGAAGAGATAACGTATCCATTTTCTACATACAAAGGCAGGAAATCTTCCTAGCAAAATATTAATAAATTTGAATCAAGTAGTTGAATACTAGAAACAGCTAAAGAAAAAGACCTGAAAGTAGTACTTCACAAAGAATAAAGAAAGATCTTGTAAAGTAAAAGGAAAATTCAATAAGCAAGTCAATATTTCTCAGAAAAATAGACGAGCTGATCTTCCAAAAGATATTTCACTCATTTTTTTAAATAAGTGGAGCCACCAACTTATTGAAGTCTCCTTATTTCATACACAAGAACTAAATTTAGTTAAAATAATAAACTCTTAGCTTCATCATACTAACATAACTTGTTTTACTGGATTCCATCCTTAGAGTTTTCTTGGGACCCAGCTATCTGGCTCAATCTTCAGTTTGGAACAAATAGCTGTGTTCAGAGTTCAATGTTGACACAACAGCATGAGTTAAGTAGTGATTTTTAACAGGATAAATAGAACCTTCACTTTTCAGGTTTCATAGATGCCACCTGGCTTGAAGTATGCCACCATGACCAGCCAATCTCAGGGGATCCACCAGCTCCTTCAGGCAGAAAAAAGGGCCAAGGACAAATTAGATGAAGCAAAAAAGAGTAAGTTCATCCCATCTGATCTCTGAGGGGTTTGTCACAAAATGTTCTTTAACAGGAAGAGATGGTGTAGTGGGATGAGTATTTTGGGATCAGGCAAAACTCCATTCAAACCCTGGTTCCACCCCACTCACTGTGAGATCTTGGGCCAGTTTGCTTAAGCTCCGCAGCCATCCGTTCTTCACTGCTACAGTGGAGGTGAAGTTTCCTAATTCAGATTCTTTTGGAGGATTGAAGCTTTTAGAGACCTTAATTTAAACCTTGACTCTGTAACTTAGTGTTGCTCCACCTCAATGTTCTCAATACTGAGTCCACTTATGAGCGAGTAACCTTGAGCAAATTACCTATTCTCTGTAAGCATCAGTATTCTCATCTGCAAAATTGGGATGGTAACATTTACTATTGTATTCTCATTCCTTTCTTGATAGCTTTCAATGTCAATATTTGGAATATTTTCATTTTATTCTATTTTTCTAACTTTTTGATTTAATTTTGTCTCTATGCATACACACAGAATGTTCTCAATAAATTTCAATTCCCTGTCCCTTCTCTTTGACAGTCACAAATACCACGTAAGTTAGGTATTATTAGTATTATCCCCATTTGTGTATGCAGAAACTGAGAGTTGGTGATTTGCCCTTGTCATGTCAAAAAAGCAATAGATATATTTTGCCAGATACTGTGCTCAGCATTTATCTCACTTACTCCTCACAACTCTTTTTGCAAGGGGGAAGCTAAAGCTTAGAGTTAGTATGCAACTTGCCCAAAATCCCACAGAAGGTAAATAATAGAGATAGGATTTGGATGAGGTTTAGCTGATTCCCAAGCCAAGATCTTAACCACTGCACACTACAATGTTGACAAAATGTTTATTATTAAAAACTAATATACAAAATTATTTAAAAAAAAAAAAAACTAATACACAGCAGATCGGCAAATCAAATTCTGGGTCCCTGGGACCAAGGCCTATGTTTCTCCCACTGTCCTATTCCATATCAAAACATTATTTAATCTAAAATAATTAAATTTTTCCTGGTTGTGTTATGTCCTGACTCTGCAACTAGATTCTCAAGTTCAATACATGAGGAGCTCTGTCTTAAAATGTTGTTTGTATAACTATGGATGAATGGAGTGATATGTATAGAGTAGATGAGATTAAACAATAGTAGGTTGTAATGCAAGAAAGGAACTACCCAATTCCCTGGGCTTTTGGACCACAAGTAACAGAATTTTCCTTTCTTAAGATAAATTGATTTTCTAAATCCTCAGTAATATGCACACTGACAACAACGAAAAAAATTTTAAGACTCCATGTCAGTGTGAGAGAGAAGATAAGGAAGGAGAAAGACAATGAAAACCAACTTTACCTACTTCATTTCCTTTTCTACAGCAAACCATGCAAATGACTTCAAGATGGTGTAAATGCAAAGTAATTTTATAGAAAGCACAGCAGGCAAAGACCTGCTGTTCGAAACACCCCTACCTTTTATTCGAATTTCTTTAACCATATTTAAAACTTCCAGAACAGAAAAAATAATTTATTTTAAGAAGGGATCACTATGTTACCTTTGCTTCCCCTTCTGAAAGAAACAAATGACCATGTTAGGCACAGTGTGGTTACTGTGTGGTTCTAATGCTCTTCTTTCTCAAAGTCATTAGAGAAGAAAAATACTGCTAATCATGCACATTGCTTGGGGTGGTAGTCACTGAGGACAACCTAGCCTCAAATTTCATAATAAAGATAGAAGCCAAACTTCCTCTCCTTTCCCCTACTGAAGACCCTCTGCTTAAGCAATCTTCCCTCAGAAGTCAGTGTTGAAAAGTAAGTATTATGTCATTTGTGTACAGAATATTCATTTCATTTTATACCAACGATTTAAAACACATACTTTTTTCTTAGTTTACCATGATCTTTTTCATGAATATTCAAAACATTCAACCAGATACAGTTAATACCCAGACTCTTAAGAACACTTTAGAAAACATTTTGACTTTCGACTTTCAACAATTAATTTCTGCACTCAACTTTTTTAGAGAGAGTATCATTCTGTGCTTTTTGTTTCAAAAGCATAGACTTCAATGCAGTTTTCATTAGATAGAACCTATTTTCTTACATGTTGTTGTTGTTGTTGTTTGCCGTTGAGTCGGCCCCGACTCATAGTGACCGCTCCTTGGGTTTCCGAGGCAGTATCACTACAGAAGTAGATTGCCCCATCTTCCTTCCGAGGAGTGGCTGGCGGATTTGAACTGCCAGCCTTCTTACATAGCTATTAGTAAGTAGCAGTTTACAGTTACAACTTAAATTACACTATCCATTCTATTTACTTCTTAAGACATTCTATGGCAAAATATAACATTTTACAGCCTGGTATGTTGTAACTAATTTTTATTTAATATATTTATTTAAATCGATTAAGATTCTTTGGGTGCCTAAAGATCCTTTGGTGGCATAAGCAGTTTGTGCTCGACTGCTAACCTAAAAGTTGGGAGTTCAAACCCATCCAGAGGCACTGCAGAAGAAAGTTCTGCCAATATGCCTCTGTAAAGAATATTCTATGGAGTAGTTCTACTCTGTAACATGGTGTCACCATGAGTCAGAATAGACATGAGAGAAATGGGTTTGGGTCTTTGGTTTGTTTGTTCAGGGGACTAGTTTCAGAAACTACATCAATGTATACTCCAGATGAGTAGGTCTAGATTCTTCCTTAAGTAACTCCCAGGTAAGATAAGACATCTACATAAATTGACCATTAAGAAAGAGAGAGAATGAATAATGACATGAGTGATGTTAAAAAAAAAAAAAAAAAAAAAATTTCCAGGGTTGACTGTTCAAATGCTGTAGAGTCACAATACTGGCTCATCACAGTACAAAAAAAAAAAAAAACCAACCTCACTGCTACCGAGTCCATTCCAACTCATAGCAACCTTACAGAACAGAGTAAAACTGCCCCATAGGATTTCCAAGCCTATAAATCTTTACAGAAGCAAACTGTCTCATCTTTCTCCCATGGAGCCAATGGTGGGTTCAAACTGCCAACCTTTTGGTTAGCAGCCAAATGCTTTAACCACTGTACCACAGAAGTACTCATGAGTGGTATAGATGATCATTATCTCCATAAACCTGTATATTTTTACTTCATCATTAGTCCATAAAAAAATTCATTTGAAAGCTTGGCATATTGAGGTAGAATAAAACCAAAACCAAACTCACTGCCATCAAGTTGATTCTAACTCATAGTGACCCTCTTTGGGTTTCCAATCTACTTCTTTATGGAAGTAGATTGCCCAGTCTTCCTTCTTTGGAGTGCTTGTTAGCTTTGAATCGCCAAGCTTCTGCTTAGCAGTCAAATGCCTTAGACACTATGTTACCAGAGCAGTCTAAATGGAATCAAATTGACAGAGATTAGATAGGAACTTTAGGGGGCATTAAGTTTATGTTAATGAGGGAGGAACAACTTAGAACAAGAAGGTGTAAATGGTTGTACAACTCAAAAAATGTAATCGATGTCACTAAATTATATATGCAGAAACTGTTGAATTGGTGAACATTTTCCTATGTATTTTCTTAATAACAACAAAATAAACTAAAAGAAAAAAAGACAAGATACTGAGAGAGAGAGTATTTGAAAGGAGAGGTGGGCTGGATTGTGGACAGGCTTGGCCAGCAGCAGAATGAAAAAGTATCATCTTGAGTTGAAAACTTAGGTTTCTTTGTATAAGTTATTTAGCATCTCTGAGTCTTGCTCTTTTTTTCTGTAAATATATTTATATAAGTCAAAAATGTAAAATATAAGTAAGCTATAAACGAAATAAATGCTTGGTTTTATTTTTAATAGCTATGTATAAAGTAAGGAGCTCTGGTAGCATAGTGCCTAAGGCATTTGACAGCTAATCAGAAGGCTGGCGGTTCAAACCCAACAGCCACTCCTAGGAAGGAAGATTGGGCAACTTACTTCCGTAAAGATGTACTGCCTTAGAAACGCAATAGGGGTTGCTTGAGTTGGAATCGACTTGATGGCAGTGCACTTGTTTATTTCAGAGATGTGTGCGTGTGTGTGTTTCTGGGTGTTGTTATCGTGTGCCCTTGAGTCCACAGTAACCCTACAGAACACAGTAGAAGTGCCCCACAGGATTTCCCAGGCTGTAAACCTTACAGAAGCAGATTGCCAAGTCTTTTCTCCCATGGAGCTCCTGCTAACCTTTCAGTTAGTAGCCAAGTGTTTAACCATTGCACCACCAGGGCTTTTTACAATACAAGATAGATCTATATTACACTTGTGTATTACATTATACATCTATATTATAATATATATACAAAGTATTTTAACATATATCATTTATATATGTATGTGTAAGAATAAGACATATCTTGTATTAAACTTGTATATTATATTATACATATATTACAAAATACACATGTTGTTGTTGTTGTTATGTGCCGCCGAGTCAAACCTGACTCATAGCGACCCCTCCTTGGATTTCCGAGGCAGTATCACTATGGAAGTCGATTGCTCAACCTTCCTTCCGAGGAATGGCTGGCGGGTTTGAACAGCCAGGCTTTTGGTTAGCAGTCAAGTGCCTTAGGCACTACACTACCAGAGCTCCTACAAAATACATATGTTGTTGTTGGTATGTGCCCTCGAGTCAAACCCGACTCATAGCGGCCCCTCCTTCTGTTTCCGAGGCACTATCACTATGGAAGTAGATTGCCCAACCTTCCTTCCAAGGAGTAGCTGGTGGGTTTGAACAGCCAGCCTTCTGGTTAGCAGTCAAGTGCTTTAGGCACTACACTACTGCATAATAAATACTTAGAGATTCTACAGAAAATAGATACTACATTAAGTCATGCAGTATTCCAGATTATTTCTTGTGGGTATGCACAATGTTAACAATTGATAATGTTTTTTTTAAAAATCAGCTAATCACCTATTTGTTTGCAATTATGCAAATATTCTGAGCTACCTAAATAAGCACTTTCATTTGATAAATTCTTCACTATTTGA